ATATATATATATTTTTTTTTTTTTTTTTGCTAATCTGAGTTTTATATTCTTTTTCTAGCAAAAAATGGCCCTATTTATGATGTAGTTTGGAATTCTAGTTCTACCGAGTTTTGTGCTGTTTATGGATTTATGCCTGCCAAAGCAACAGTTTTCAACTTGAAATGTGATCCTGTGTTTGACTTTGGAACTGGCCCTCGTAACGCAGCCTACTACAGCCCCCACGGACATATACTAGTACTAGCCGGATTCGGAAACCTCAGGGGACAAATGGAAGTGTGGGATGTTAAAAACTACAAACTTATTTCCAAGCCGGTGGCTTCAGATTCTACGTATTTTGCCTGGTGCCCAGACGGTGAGCATATTTTAACAGCCACGTGTGCTCCCAGGTTACGCGTCAATAATGGGTACAAGATCTGGCATTACACTGGCTCTGTCCTGCACAAGTGTGACGTGCCATCCAATGCAGAACTGTGGCAGGTTTCTTGGCAGCCGTTCCTGGATGGAGTATTCCCAGCAAAAGCAATAACGTACCAAGCAGTTCCAACTGAAGTACCCAATGAGGAACCTAAAGTTGCTACAGCTTATCGACCCCCAGCTTTAAGAAATAAACCAGTCACCAATTCCAAATTGGTAAGTAACATGTTACTATTTTGATAAGAAAAGGTTTGCTATTGTGTGCATTTCTCTAAACCTTTCTCTTATGTTCTTGTGTTACTTAATACCTAATTAGAATATAAACTCTGAGGCTGGCAGGTGGCATGGCAGTTAAAGGCACTGGACTCCCATATGACTGGCTGTGGTTTGAGTCCCGAACACTGGTGGCTTGCTTTCTTACTTTCTTTCTCTCCCCCCGCCCCCTTACCTCTCCCTCTCCTCTCTCCCTCTCCCTCCGTCGCTCTCTGGTCAAATTTAAATAAAGTTAATAAAATAATTTTTTTTTTTTTTTAAAGAATATGAACTCTACTGCTGAAGATAGGGAACAGTTGGCAAAATAATTGCCATTTTTAAGTTTCTGGGAAAGATAACTGAGAATGATACGTTGGCCTTGTCGATCAGAAAATCAAATTCAAATTCAAATGCTTGTCAAGGTAATAGAGAGAATGGTGGACAGGAAGGCTCATCCCTCTGCAGAGGCCATAGCAGCTACAGAGCAGTAACCAATTTGTTCTGTGTGTATTTTACAGCTAGTTTGCCAAAATGTTTGATTTTTTCAAGACAAAATGAGTCTGGAAGCTTATGCAAACTTTCTCCATTTAAACACTGTTGATCAAATGAAACACACCTGTTGCTATAAGTTCCCATCTCTGTTGAGCAGTGACAGCTAGCGTATTGGTCAGATTTTGGTTTGCTTTTGAGAGCTCAAAGGAGAGCGTTTATTAATGCCCTGAGTTTCTGTGACTGTGTTACGGAATTAAGGCGCCCTAAGAATGAACAGTAACATTATTGGTTTTATTAGAAAGATGATCATATGACAGCTGTAACCTGAGGCTGTTCCAGGCAGGGGAAATGGACAGTCATTGTGTCATTAAGCACTCCAGAAAGTAGATACTCTTTCAAAGAATCAATATCCCTGTGCCCCCTTTGTGCCACTCTTCACCTTCACAAAAACAAAAGCAAAAAAATAGCTCTTCTTCAACTAGAGATGAGTGCTGCTCTATAACTTCTTAGCTCCCACTGAAATTCTTTTTTTTTTTTTGGAGAGGGTTTTGATATAGGGCGCGTGCGCTCGCCAGACAGACAGAGAGAGACAGAGAGACAGAAAGCGAGAAATCACCCCCCAGGGGGGCTGGTCACGCCGCAGTTCCTTCTCCTCCATTCTCCTCTCGGGATCTTGGGCACTCACGCATATGCGCCCGGCATGAGTTTTAAGCCACCGGTCCCGGTCCCGGACGCGAACCGCAGTCGACTACGTGGGAGTCCAGCGACATAGCCATTACACTAACTGCTGGTTCCCAACTCCCACTGAAGTTTTCTGTTAAGGTGCTTTTGTTACTTAAGTGCAGCTATTTAAAAACTAATGTAGTAAATTAAGCCCTGTGATATCTATTTATTCATGTTTAGATTTTTTTAAAGGCTATGGTAGTCTTCAGATTTCTTATCTCTGTATTGAAATTTTTCTTGTCTAAAATATAAAAAGAAGTAACTCCAACCTATGACAGTCCAGTCTGAATCTCTGTAAGATGGCATAAGAAGAAATTCTGAATTGGTGTGTATTTTTGGTTTCTGATCCACTGATTGGTTTATTTTGGGGGTGGTAGAGAAATTAATGTAGGAAGAGCATACACCAAAAACAGGACTAAAACTAGATAAGAACTTATACTCAGAAGGGGTTTTTTTCCTTTTTTTTTTTTTTTTTTTTTAACATTTATAGCTTCTCCTGAACTTTTGCTTTTGTTTGTGACTTAGTGATTATGTGATTTTATTAAATCTTTTTTTTTCTTAGATTTCCATAGGACGCATGCACTTGCCAAAAGAGATGGATAGAAAGGAAGGGAAAGGAAGAAATCCCCCAGAGGGGATGGCCATGCCAAAGTCCCTTCTCTTCCATTCTCCTCTTGGGATTTTTGGACTTGCATGCACACTTGCCAGGCGTGATTCTCAGGCTGCTGGGTCTAGGCTTGAACTGTGCAGTCAGCTATGTGCAACCCAGTCACCTTAACCTTGACACCAACTGCTAGCCCCTATTAAATCATTTTAATTGAAAGAACTATGTGCCCACTTGTGAGAAATTTTTATTTGTATTTGGTTTCAAAAATGAGCCAAATAGCAAGGAAAATACAGTCAAGAAATTACTAGTGGGACCAGCAGATGGCATAATGGTTACATTGCTGGACTCCCTTGTAGTCGACCATGGTTGGAGGCAGACCTGGTGACTTAAAACTTAAGTCGGGTGCATGTACATGTGTGCCCAAAATCCCAAGAGGAGAATGGAGGAGAAGAGATTTCAGTGTGGCCATCCCACTGGGGAGTGATTTCTCTCTCTCTCTCTCTCTTTGTCTCTGTGTGTGTGTGTGTATCTCTGGCGAGCACATGCACCCTATAACAGTAATAAAACAAACAAACAAAAACTGAAGGGAGAAAAATAAATTACTAGGAACAAAGACAGAGTGGTGGACAACTTCACAAAGAAAGGTGTTAAGATTCTTCCCCCTGAAGAAAAAAACACTTTTTTCTAGTAAGTAAAAATTTATATGCAAATTATACTTTGAGAGGTGTTTCTTGACTTTTCAGAAAACATTTACTTTCAAATGTGCTCATTTAAAACAATCCCATAATAATTGATATAACTGAAGAAACAGATTTAGTATGAAAGATAAAATTGTGTGTAATCAGTGCAAAATACTAAAGCCAAGAAAGCTTATGATCCATAATAATTGTGTGGACTTAATGAAAGGCTTGCAGTGGCAACATTATGCTTATAACTGTGGGAATGACTGTTGTAATCTTTTTAGATTGTTGCTGTAGTGCTTGAGAACTCACTGGAGAAAGCGAGAAATCATCCTGGAGGAGTGGGGGAAATGGCCACACCACAATCCCTTCTCCTTTCTCATCTTGGTATTTTGGGCATGCTCGTGCACATGCCTGGCATATTTTCAAGTCCCAAGTCCCAGTCTGGGACGCAAACCATGGTGCTGGTCACGTGGAATCTAGTGCCTTAACCATACATCTCTTGCTGGTCCCAAAGACTTACATAATTTATCCTGTCTTGTTGTATCATTTTTACTTGATTTATCATTTTTTGGAAGTTCTCTTTAGCAGAAACTTTCAGCCAAAGCAAGCCTCTGTGAAGACCCCACTATTGAAAGAATCTGAACATTATGTATAAAAACAAATGTTCAGCAAATACTGCATAGCTTAACTAACATTGTTTGCAGTGTGGATAAAATATCAATGAAAGATGCTATACTCCATAGTGGGTTCTCAAATGTTCAGTTTGCTTCAAGTTGGGTATGTGCACATACAAAACTTTGGGGACCTGAAGTAATTAATGCCTTTGCTCTAAGATAAAGTCACTTTTTGTTTTAAAATTATTCCTCTATATCTTAAAAGTTTGAGAGGCCAGCAGGTGGCATAGGTTAAAGTGCTGGACTCGCACCTTGCTGACTGCTGTTCAAAGTCCCAAACCCGATGGCTTGAAAATCACTCCAGGCACATGTGCATGTGTGCTCAAACTTCCGAGAGGAGAATGAAAGAGAAGGAATTGCAGTGTGACCATTCCTTCAGGGGGAGATTTCTCACTTTCCCTCTCACTGTCTCTCTGTCTCTCTCTCTCTGACAAGTGCATACACCCTATGGCAAAAGACTAAAAACATTTTTAAAAAGGGACCAGCAGATAGCATAATGGCTACATTGCTAGACTCCCATGTAGTCAACCGCAGTTTGAGTCCTGGACCTGGTGGCTTAAACTCACACAGGGCGCATGTGCGTGTGTGAAGAAGAAGGGATTGCAGTGTGGCCATCCCTTCTGGGGGGGTGGGGGGAGGTGATTTCTTGCTTTCTGTCTCTCTCTGTCTTTCTGGCGAGTACATGTGCCCTATAGCAAAAACCTCTCCAAAAATAAATAAATAACTTTTTAAAAAGTTAAGCCCTTCGCATTTCCCTATAGGATCATACAGACAATACAGATCTGAGACCTAGTAGTATTCAAGAAACTTCTTATAGTCTTGCAACTAACAGTATTTTAGCTTTTTCATTTACTTTTGGTTTTAATCTTCTGATCTCTGATTTTACAAGTGAAGATCTCACAAGTAAATTTTTTGTATAAGGAGAATAAATGAGGCAGCTGGGTTTCTGATGACCCTAGTCAGATCAGAAGAACTCAGAAGAACCTATTGTGGGTATCTGGTTTCATAAGAATCATATGTCTGAGAAGTACTAAGAAAAGTTCTATTGTATGAACAAAACTCAAGTGAGTTTTGCCAGCTCTTATATAACTGAAAGATATATCAACTAATAGGAAGATCCTCATTAAATCCTAGTAAGTCTATCCCAACTAGCACAAAAGTGTATGATATATTATTGTATATGTTATGTGAAACTTGGGATCCATTTCAAAGTTATTTATTTTTCATTTTCCATAGCATGAAGAAGAGCCACCTCAGAATATGAAACCGCAAGCTGGAAGTGATAAGCCATTATCAAAAACAGCCCTGAAAAATCAGAGGAAGCATGAAGCTAAGAAAGCTGCAAAGCAGGTACTGGGGTACTGATCTTTTCTAAAGAAAACACACAAAAAAGCCAGTTAAATGAGCTATATGCTTTTAAGAATTGTGACCCTAAAGATGAAATTGTTGAAATGTAAAATGTAGTTGGAGTTAGACCCGAATAACCAGCATGGGGCAAGATAGCGATGCACTGGTAGCATGATTCGCATGGGAGGGTGCCAGGTTTGTGTCTCTGGGCCACCGTCTACATGCCATCATGCATACTCATGCCTGTGATCAGGGCTGGCTGAGGCCAGGGAGGATCACAACATGAAGAGTGTGTGTGGAGCTGTCTCTCTGTCATGGAACAAATAAATAACCTTTAATGAACCAGCGTATCTTTTCTGATTCTAAGTAGTCCTGTTTGTATAATGGGTGGCTGGAGCTGACTTTAAAACCTGAGACAATTATGAAATTATGTCTGTTACTTACTGAAGACCTTTTTTTTTTTTTTTTTATTTTATTTTGAAGAAGTTTTTGCTACTGGGTGTGTGCATTCACCAGAAAGACAGAGAGACAGAGAGCAAGAAATCGCCCCCCAGGGGGATGGCCACGCCACAATCCCTTCTCCTCCATTCTCCTCTCGGGATCTTGGGCATGCACGCACATGCACCCGGTGTGAGTTTAAGCCCTGGGTTCAGGACTCGAACTGCAGTCAACTACATAGGAGTCCAGTGACATAGCCATTACGGCAACTGTTGGCCCCCTGAAGACCCTTTCTGAGTAGCCCATGAAGTGGTGCAGTTTGCACAGGGGCCATGCTAATCTTCTCTGTACCATTCCAGTTGTAGTGTGTATGCTGCTTAAGTGAAAACTGTGTAGTTTGCTTTCTTCAAGGCATGTGTTTAACACAGGCTGGAAATGGTGTGACTACAAACTATTTCACACCCAGCATTATTTATTATATGGAATTACTCAGCAGGGAATCTAAATATCAGAAGTACCCAAATAATGAAGTTGTTCTAAAATAATTTTTATTTGATTATATAGTTGGAAAAGAACATTAATGTAATAATTAACAAATAAATCGTGTTGGCTTATGGCGACAGTTTGATCAACTGGGCTGGTAATATCTATTAAGTGAATCATGGTGAGCACATTTTGAGATGTAGGCATTGTGTATGTTTTAGTTCATTCAGACTATGATAACAAAATACCTTAGACTGGGTAGTTTATAAATAAGAGAAATTTACCATTCACAGTTTGAAAACTGTGGTGGGGGGATGTCCAAGAACAAGGCCCCAGCAGTTCAGTGTCTGGTGGAGGCCCCATCCCTCACAGATGGTGCCTTCTATGTGTCCTTATGTGGTGGAAGGGACAAGGGAGTCCCCTAGAGCCTTTTTTCACCCCTCTCCTCCACTTTTTTTTTTTTTTTTTGAAAGTTTTCGCTATAGGATATGTGTGCTCGCCAGAGACAAAGAGAGGCAAAGTGAGAAATCACCCCCCAGAGGGAATCACCATGCTCCAATTCCTTTTCCTCTGCTCTCCCTCAGAATTTTGGGCACACATGCACATGCACCTAACATGATCGTCAAGCCTCTGGGTCCGAGACTTTAACCGCAAAGCTGGCTATGTGGGGATTCAGCACCTTAACGCCGCGCCACTTACTGGCCCCTTCATTTTTTTTTTTTTAATTAAGTTTTATTTTTCTGTTTCTTATGAGTAAGAGAAGCAGTAACAGAAAGAGTGAGACAGCACTCCAGCCAGATCCTGACCCCATGTTTCATTGCCAGCCCTCAGCCCACTCTAGATCATAGACTTGACCTGGGAGACCTTCCATGTGGGATTGCCTTGTGGATGTCACATTTTCCCACTGTGTCACCGTTGGCCTTTCGCCTCTTTCATAAGGGCACTAATCCCAGTTAGGAAGGTGTAGTCCTTGTAAGTCAAAAGGCCAAGTAGACCCACCTCTTGATACGTATCACGTTGGGTATGAGATTCCAGTGTATGAATTTGGGGCGCACACCAACCTTCAGTCCATGGTGGGGCGGTTGTAGTAGCTGATTGCCTCATCACTGATACAGCCTCACTGGTAATGCTTCCTTTTTTGACAGGCCTCAGTAGCTTTTGTGTTTTAGTAGGTAATTCCTACTAATTAACTTAGTAGGTAATTCTCGTGTTTTAGTAGGTAATTCTACATTTTCCAATAGTATTTGAGCATATGCAAATTTAGGAGGTGATAAAAATCAGTATGTTTTATTCAGAAAAATCCATTTTGAAATATTGAACTTTCTTAAAGATAGTCCTTGTGTCTTTTCTAAAACAGAAAACAAAATAAAACAAAAGTACTATTGATAGAAAATGTAATAATTACAAAAGCAACCCCTTCCCAGTACAACCACACAACCACCAGTACCCGATGCTCACTAAAGAGGAGAGTCCTAATCCATCATTATGAGGATGCTGTTGAGTGTCTTTCCAGTGATGACAGTGCATTTGTAGCTTCCGGGATAATCCCTTCTGTGTGTGTTTTTGAGATGACCACATGGAGTTATAGCTGCATGATAGAATAAAGCTGATTGGCCCATTACAGGATTTCACCTTGACTAGGCCTTCTCAGTCCTGACTCTGAATTAAGTAGATGAAGATAGAACAGTCAGGTGTAGATACTCTTAATTGTTTTTTTTTCCAATTGCCAGAGGGTGCATGTACTCACTAGAGTGGGGAGAGTCAAGAGGGGGAGAGAGAGAGAAAGCATTTTCCAGTGAAGCATGGTAACACTGTAATCCCTTTTCCTCCATTTCTCCATCCCATCAGGATTCGGGGCATGCACACACGTGTACCTAGCATGTTTTTCAAGCCACGGGGACCAGGATACTATTAGGTTGTTGGGAAAGTAATGACATATTTTTCTATACAAAAATGTGTCATGACTTCCCCAGCGACCCACTGGCCATGATCAGCCATCTGGAATCCAGCTCTCAATGCACAGCACATAACTGCTGTTCTGTGAGACCAGCCCTAATTAGTAATTTTATAAAGTTGTGATAAATTTATAAGCTTGTCAACTTCGCCAAAAAAGGGTTGAGACTGAAGAATCTAATCTTACCATATATATATATATCCTTCTTAAAGAATAATCAGATTGAAGTGTACTAATGCAGACATTTTGACTTATTCTTGGTTAGTTTATGATGGGAAATGAAATTTTGTGTTTTAATAGTTTTAAATTTTTTTAAAAAATTGGGTTTTTGTTTCATTTTGTTTTGTCTTTGCCTTAGGGCGCATGCACTCTCTGGAGAGACAGATAAATACAGAGCTGGAGAGTGAAAAATCACCCCTGAGGGGGATGGCCACATAGCAATCCCATCTCCCTTCTTCGCTCAGGATTTTGGTTTGCACGCACATGCGGCCAGCACGATGAAGCTGCCAGGTCCAGCACTTGAGTCGCAATCAGCCACGTGAGGGTCCAGCACCTTAACCACTGCACCACCTGCTGGCTCCCTCCTCTTGAGGTTTGGGGCGTGCATGCACACTCACCCATGTGATTCTCAAGTCTCTGAGTTTGAGTTAGAGTCTCAGCTCATTACAAACAAATAAAATTTTTTATTTTTTACTTACTCTTCTAGTTTTATGTTACGAAAAATACCAAACTGCATAATATCAGAACTTATAGGCTTCTTACGAGTAGAAAGTAGAGCCAACAGATGGTGTAGTTATGGACTCCCACATATCTGACTGTGGTTCGAGTTGCAGACCTGGCCGCCTGAAAATCACGCTGGGCACATGTACATGCATACTCAAAATCCTAGTAGGAGAATGGCATGGCCATCCCTGCCAGTGGTGGGGGGTGATTTTTCATTTTCCTTCTCACTGCCTCTCTCTCTGGTGAGCACATGCACCCTATGGCAAAATAAATAAATAAATAAACAACAAAAAAAATAGAAACTAAATATTTATTTCCCGAACACTCAAGATGTTTAGTAATCTGTTTCACATAGAAGGAAAGAAATTAGTATTTGTTGGCGTGCAAAAAAGTGAAACTAGCATGACCTTAAGAAGAAAATGTTGACTTAATTCCATTTTCTTCATGAACTCTTATTTTTTAGAATTCATTATTTATTTTTATAAACTCTCATGCAGACTTTTTTAGAGTTGGATATCTAAGAGTTGTGCCCTGTTCTGCAGCCTCCCTGGGATGCTTTGGGAGTTCAGGGTAATCTATGGAAAACTCTGAGTAAGAGTTATTGGAATCCTGGGCATTTTATGTTCTACTGGGAGCACTACAGGAAGAAGCAGAAACCCTACCCTGGGGCTAATGAGAACTTAAATAACTTTTTTTTTACTCTGGTCAAAACATGCACGTTGGGGTTAGCAGGTGGCGTAGTAGTTAATGCACTGGACTCCTACATGGCCTACTGAGGTTCGAGTCCTAGACCTGGGGGCTTGAAACTCAGGCTGGATGTATGTATGTGCATGCATGCTCAAAATACTGAAAGGAGAGTGGAGGAGAAGGGATGATGGTGTGGCCATCCCCCTAGGAGAATATTTCTCACTTTCTTTCTCTCACTGTCTCTTTCTGCCTCTCTGGCATGCACATGCGCCCTATAGTAAAAATCTCTAAATATATATATATTTATATACACATACACATATACATACATCTTGTCATAATTACAGAGGTAGACTCTTTCATTTATGTAGCACGTGAAGCAAAACAAGTGTTATATTGGGCCCAGATCTAATGGTGGATAGTTCAATTCTATGTTACAATAGGGACATGTACCAGGTGGTGTGGTCCTGGGAAAGGATCAACTCACCCAGTCTTGGAGTGGATAAATTTTGGGGGAAGCTTAAAGGATAAGTAGGGGTCATCCAGGTAACTAGTGGGAACATATTCTAGGCCCATGGAATAGTGGACACAGGCCAGGAGACAAGATTGTGCAGCACCTTAGAGGACATAAGTCGGTTCAGAATCAGTAGTCCTTTGGTGAGAAGGGGGAGGGCTCTTCCTGAACCTGTTGGAAGCAATACAGCATTCCTTCGCAGGAAAAGGAGTTTTCCATGGCGTTTTGTGGCAGAGAGGAGTTTATCTGATTATGAATGATTCTCCGTAGGACGCTTCCTCATAGTGTTATCCGTACCATGTACTTGATCATATATCCTCTTGATGATTTTGGAGGGCATCCCAAGAGCCAAACTCAAACACTTTAATTAGAAAAGCCCTCTCACATTTCCAGACCACCCAGATGGTGGTACCTCCTAGAGGGGAAAACGTTTGAAATGCTTGTTGGCAGCTACAGAAAGCTTCTCGTTTACTCTGAGCAGGTCATCCCCTTTCTACCTGTTACAGGAATATGTAGCATACACCATGAGACTGCTCATTCAGGTTCTTGCCTTATGGAAGACGTAGATAAAAGCACATCATCGGTTTCTGTATTTTACTTAGCAAAGTTAGGTTGACCGAAATACTTTAACATCTTGATATTTGAAAATTCGATTTTAAAAAATATCTTCTGCAGGAAGCAAAGAATGACAAGAGTCCAGATTTGGCACCTGCTCCTGCCCAACAGAGCACACCACGAAACCCTGTCTCTCAGTCAACTTCTGGAGATCCTGAGACAGACAAAAAAATCAGGAACCTGAAGAAGGTAAGAGGCCTGACTGAGAAACAGAAGTGCGTATGGAAAAGCATACGTGAGAATTAGATGAAGAGGGTGCTGCGATACCTAAACACGGGTGTCGAGTATGTGTCACTTTTCATTATTGCCCTTTTACGAGTGGAGGAGAAGGGATGATGGTGTGGCCATCCCCCTAGGAGAATATTTCTCACTTTCTTTCTCTCACTGTCTCTTTCTGCCTCTCTGGCATGCACATGCGCCCTATAGTAAAAATCTCTAAATATATATATATTTATATACACATACACATATACATACATCTTGTCATAATTACAGAGGTAGACTCTTTCATTTATGTAGCACGTGAAGCAAAACAAGTGTTATATTGGGCCCAGATCTAATGGTGGATAGTTCAATTCTATGTTACAATAGGGACATGTACCAGGTGGTGTGGTCCTGGGAAAGGATCAACTCACCCAGTCTTGGAGTGGATAAATTTTGGGGGAAGCTTAAAGGATAAGTAGGGGTCATCCAGGTAACTAGTGGGAACATATTCTAGGCCCATGGAATAGTGGACACAGGCCAGGAGACAAGATTGTGCAGCACCTTAGAGGACATAAGTCGGTTCAGAATCAGTAGTCCTTTGGTGAGAAGGGGGAGGGCTCTTCCTGAACCTGTTGGAAGCAATACAGCATTCCTTCGCAGGAAAAGGAGTTTTCCATGGCGTTTTGTGGCAGAGAGGAGTTTATCTGATTATGAATGATTCTCCGTAGGACGCTTCCTCATAGTGTTATCCGTACCATGTACTTGATCATATATCCTCTTGATGATTTTGGAGGGCATCCCAAGAGCCAAACTCAAACACTTTAATTAGAAAAGCCCTCTCACATTTCCAGACCACCCAGATGGTGGTACCTCCTAGAGGGGAAAACGTTTGAAATGCTTGTTGGCAGCTACAGAAAGCTTCTCGTTTACTCTGAGCAGGTCATCCCCTTTCTACCTGTTACAGGAATATGTAGCATACACCATGAGACTGCTCATTCAGGTTCTTGCCTTATGGAAGACGTAGATAAAAGCACATCATCGGTTTCTGTATTTTACTTAGCAAAGTTAGGTTGACCGAAATACTTTAACATCTTGATATTTGAAAATTCGATTTTAAAAAATATCTTCTGCAGGAAGCAAAGAATGACAAGAGTCCAGATTTGGCACCTGCTCCTGCCCAACAGAGCACACCACGAAACCCTGTCTCTCAGTCAACTTCTGGAGATCCTGAGACAGACAAAAAAATCAGGAACCTGAAGAAGGTAAGAGGCCTGACTGAGAAACAGAAGTGCGTATGGAAAAGCATACGTGAGAATTAGATGAAGAGGGTGCTGCGATACCTAAACACGGGTGTCGAGTATGTGTCACTTTTCATTATTGCCCTTTTACCATGAAACACTGTAACCTAGGGCTAGCGCTGACTTTAGTTATATTTACAAATGTGTGAAGGCCAATTCATATTTTTATTATTGATTTTTGGAATATTAAGAAATAATATACATTTATACAGAAATATGCTGAACACTCTTTTGTTCTTTATCTTTTTATTAGTTTTTTTTTTTTTTTTTGATATAGAGGGTGTACGCTTACTGGAGAAAGAGAGAGAGTGAAATGACCCCCCAGTGGGGTGACCACACTACAGTCCCTTCTCTTTTTATCTCTCAGGGTTTTCAGCACACATGTACACATCCCAGCATTTTTTTTTTTTTTTTTGGAGAGGTTTTGCTATAGGGCTCATGCGCTCCCCAGAAAGATAGAGACAGAGAGACAGAAAGTGAGAAATCATCCCCGGGGGGTTGGCCACTCTGCATTCCCTTCTCCTCCATTCTCCTCTTGGGATCTTGGGCATGCGCACACATGCGGCTGGCGTGAGTTTAAGCCACCAGGTCCGGGACTTGAACTGTGGTCGACTACATGGGAGTCCAGCGACATAGCCATTATGCCAGCTGCTGGTCCCTGTGCCTAGCGTATTTTTAAGCTATCTGGTCTGGGACTCAGACCATTGATCCCATGTGGCATCTAACACCTTAATCACCTGGCCCCCTGAACACTGTTATACTCAGTATGTCTTTACATATCTGTGAACTGTGTAAGAACAGATACTTATCTAGTCTTAAGAATGAAGAAACAGATACAGAAAAAAGTTTATTAACTTTTCAAATTACAACCAGTGTGTGGTTTGTGACCCTGATGATAAAACCTTCTCTCTAGAGCCTGTCCCATCTGCTTTCTGACCTTTCCCTTAAAGCCCAAAGAAATCATCCAGGTACAAGGGGATATTGAGATAAAGGTGAAATTAGTGATATACTGGGTTGTGAGAAAAGTCATGATGCATTTTTCATAGAAAAATACGTCACAACTTTTCCTAGTATTTACACACACACACACACAATATTTATTAAATGGTTGAAACATTCTGCCAAATTTTGTGGGGTTTTTTTAATATTTGTTTATTTATTTTTATTTGTTACTATTCTTCATTTTGACCAGAGAGAGACAATAGAGATAGAGAGAGAGAGTTAGTTTGAAAGCAAGCTGCCAGGTCCAGCATTCAAACTGTGGTTGGCCATGTGGGAGTCTAGTACCCCACCCACCATGCCACCTGCTGGCCCCAGTCCCATGTTTTTAACATATGAATTTTATATTTAACTTTAAAAATACTTTGCCCTAGCATTTTAACAAGCAATTCCTGATACAGATGTGAGATCATTGATTTTCCTTGTTTAAGTGTCACATTCATACAATCAAGTTGTTTATGAAAAGATTTACTCTCAAAGATTACTTTTTCTAATTTAATCTTGACTCATATTTAATGTTTATAGAAACTAAAAGCAATTGAACAACTGAAAGAACAAGCAGCAAGTGGAAAACAGCTAGAAAAAAATCAGGTATTTTCTGCATTTAGTGATATACTGGGTTGTGAGAAAAGTCATGATGCATTTTTCATAGAAAAATACGTCACAACTTTTCCTAGTATTTACACACACACACACACAATATTTATTAAATGGTTGAAACATTCTGCCAAATTTTGTGGGGTTTTTTTAATATTTGTTTATTTATTTTTATTTGTTACTATTCTTCATTTTGACCAGAGAGAGACAATAGAGATAGAGAGAGAGAGTTAGTTTGAAAGCAAGCTGCCAGGTCCAGCATTCAAACTGTGGTTGGCCATGTGGGAGTCTAGTACCCCACCCACCATGCCACCTGCTGGCCCCAGTCCCATGTTTTTAACATATGAATTTTATATTTAACTTTAAAAATACTTTGCCCTAGCATTTTAACAAGCAATTCCTGATACAGATGTGAGATCATTGATTTTCCTTGTTTAAGTGTCACATTCATACAATCAAGTTGTTTATGAAAAGATTTACTCTCAAAGATTACTTTTTCTAATTTAATCTTGACTCATATTTAATGTTTATAGAAACTAAAAGCAATTGAACAACTGAAAGAACAAGCAGCAAGTGGAAAACAGCTAGAAAAAAATCAGGTATTTTCTGCATTTTTTTCATTGGAGCTTCTGGTCACCACCATCCTTCCCCCTTTTATTATAAGCAATTATTTAATCAGATGAAAGAATACAGATTAAAACTCGTTTTGAAAACCATATCCCATATTCTCTTTATGTTTTACCTTAAACACTTACTCAGGTAGAAAGTATGACATCATAGATCATGGTACAGAAAGAAAGGAGTCAGTGTCTGAGAGGCACTCTGATGGCTGTTGTTGCTGAGAATAACAGTGGTGTGTCATACTAGACAAACGATTCTTTTCCTTCCTGTATGCCAGGTTGCACTGCCCTATTTGCCTTTTTCTCCCCCTTCAGATTTTTTTTTTTTTTTTAGAGAGAAATTTTTGCTATAGGACATGTATACTCGCTGGAGAGACAGCAGGGACAGAGAGAAAGTGAGAGATCACCTCCTGGGGTGAGGTTGGAGGGGAATGGCCACACCACAACCCCTTCTCCTCTATTCTCCTCCTGGGATTTTGGGCACAAACACACATGTGCCTGGCATGAGTTTCAAGCCTCCAGGTCCGGGACTTGAACCATGATCAGCCATGGGGGGAGTCCAGTGCCTTAATCCCTCCACCAGCCGCTGACACCCACCATGTTTTCTAATTACATGGGGAGTGCATGCACTTGTGAGAGAGGGAGAGGAAAGCAGCCCCCCGTGGGTTCTGGTCACACCACAGTCCCTTCTTCTCCATTTCTCCATCCTGTTGAGATTTAGGGCATGTGCACCTGGTGTGGTTTTCAAGCCACTGAGGCTGGAATTGAAACCATCGTCAGCCCTGTGGGAAGCTGGCTCACTCACCCTCTAGGCTGTAGATCTGGCCCCCTTTCCTCAGCACTTTAAGCCCAAACGTAGAAGAAAAGTTTTTTGTACTAAAGGGACGCAATAAGACAGCTTCTAGCTATCTTTTGCCACCTGGATTCATACCAGATAAAAATATGTGTTTACTAGTGCATCCAATAAAGTGTCAGGAATACTCTTTCTCTAAACTTTTTCTCTGTACTATTTTGGTTAAAGATCCAATAATTATTTCCTATTTAGTAATTTCACTGTTTTAAAATTTTTTAGTTGGAGAAAATTCAGAAAGAGAAAGCCCTTCTCCAGGAGTTGGAAGATTTGGAATTGGGTGTTTAAAGATTCACAGTAAGCAAGTCGGTTACCAGAAATCAGTGCAAACACATCTTCTGTTAAACTCATTAGTGTAAGCAGAATGGCTGTGGGCCCACATGTAATGTTGACCTCTAACTTTAAGCATTCATCCAAGATTCTGCAAATGTATAGGGTTAGTTAATAGTGTATATACAATTGACTTTTACACCCTGAATCCTATATCATGTCAATACATGATACAGAAGAGATATATGAATTTTTTAGCTAAATTTAACAGATGGAAAGATAATATCATTGTTTTTTAGTGGGGGACAGTATTTACCCATATAAATGAATAAAGACCTTTACATTTAATCATTGTTGCCTTTGTTACTAACTTCTCAGTTCAGATTCCTTTATTAATTTACAAGGCCTGCGGTAAATTGTTTAATTCTTACTATAAGAGTATGAGGTAGATATTATTGTAATGTCTTGTTATTTTATCAGTGAAGAAGCTAAGGCTATAAAATTAAGAAATTTGCCGATGTCACAAAGCTAGGAAATGAGATGTGAACCCAGGCAGTCTCGTCCCAGGTGATGACGATGTGTCCCTGGTGCTCGCTGCTGAGTGTTACCGAAGAATACATTCCCGTTAGTGTTGCGGCTGGGTTATAAAATGCACGTTTACATTTCCATGGATACTGATACTGCCTGCTTTCAAGGTTAACACTTCCACCAGTGAGGTTTCCACACCTTTATTAACATCAGACGTAATAAGACTTTTGAATTTTTGCCAGATTGAGAAAACAAAAATATACTGTTATTTTTGTATTTTAAATTAGGGATGGATTATGTGTATTTAAGTATACATATATATTCATTTTTAAAAAGGATATATACAAAGACTGTTCCATACCCTTTTGTTTCTTTAGAATATTTTATTTATTTTTTTATTTTCCTTAAAATATTTTAGAAATCATTCCACATCAGTACATCCCCCTTTTTGGTTTTTTTATTTTTTGAGAAATTTTTGCTATAGGGCTTGTGTGCCCTATAGCACCAGAGAGAGAGAAAGAGAGAAAGCTCCCCTCTCGTCCCCAGGGGGATGGCCATGCCACAATCCCTTTTCTTCCATTCTCCTCTCAAGATTTTGGGTATGTACGCACATGCCCCTGGCATGAGTTTTAAGCCACTGGGTCCGGGACTCGAACCGAGGTCAACTACATAGGAGTCCAGCAATGTAACTATTATGCCATCTGCTGGCCCCAGTACATCTCCCTTTTATTTATATATATCTATATGTATATAAATATCCATAGCACATCTGTTTATAGATTGTTTACTGAATATTTCAGGCTCACTGTTATGACCTACTGCTCAGAAGAAAAGATTTCCTTCAAAATATTACTTGTTGGCAGTGCACCTGCTGTCACGGAGAGGTACATGAGATTATTAATAATTATTAATATCTCTCTATATGAAGGTGTATATATAGAGATAGATATAAATTCATAATGGTACATTGTATGGAAGTAAGATAACCAGCTTACTAAGTACATATTAAGGTTATAATGTATACATATTAAACAACAAATAAATGAAGTATAGATGTTTATTTCTGTTCTTGAGTTGGGTTGTATCCAAGTTTTGAGAATTAAATCAATTCCCTGGATATTCAGTTTGATAATTTATGTAGTACACATTATTATTTTTTTTTCAGAGGTTTTTGCCATGTGTGTTCACTGGAGAGAAAGAAACAGAGACAGTGAGAGGAAAAGTAAGAAATCACTCCCCAGGGGGCTTGCCATGCGCAGTCCCTTCTCCATTCTCCTCCTGGGATCTCGGGCATGCACATGCACCCAGTGTGAGTTTCAAGTCACTGGATCTAGGATTCAAACCATGGTTGGCCATGTGGGAGTCCAGTGATATAACCATTATGTCATCTACTGGCTCCCATATAGTGAGTATTTCTTTGAGTTAGTCAGACACTAGAAATGACAGGAATGTTAATAAGTTGTTATTTCAAGAGAGGCCTCGAGGCAGTTCTTGGTTCATCCTCCTGTGTAAATCGTGGGTTGTCGGAAAAGTCAGGATACACAGAAAATACGTCATGACTTTTCTGACAACCCACTACATTAATGTATAAAGCAGGACAAACCAGCAAGAATTTTAAGTATCAAAATGGTAGGGTTGACTGATAGCTTTGCTGTTCTGGTCTTAGCAAAACTGTTCTAGAAGGAAAGAGGAAAAATGGAATAAGCTCACAGCAGTGAGTTTTCCTCGGCCTCTAAGACCATAACATCAAACTAGATTTAGGAGTAGCCTTCACACTTGTTTTCAAGCTGCATGAATCAGTTCATCAGTGTTTACTGGGAATTAGTGCAGGTTACAAAAGAAATACAATGTATCATTTAGAAATATGTACCGTTTTCAAATGTCAAGTTACTTGTAGACATATTTATAGATTTGTAAATTGGTTCATAAGGACCAGGAGGCATGGTGGTGGTTAAGGCTGCTAGATCCCACATGACTGAGGAGCAGTTCAAGTCCTGAAGCAGGTGGCTTGAAAAATACACCAGGCACATGTGCATGGGTGCCCAGAAATCCCAAGAGCAGAATGGAGGAGAGGATTGTGGCATGGCCATCCCCCCACACCCTGGGGGTGCTTTCTCACTTTCTCTCTCTGTCTCTGATGAGCGCACATACCCTATTGCCAATTGGAAAGAAAAATTATGCTAAATCTACTCTGCCTATGTTCAGTAAATGGAAAAACAAAGCCTGGAAGACAACACATCTATTTACAGCATTGTGTACTGAGTAAGTATTTAAGACTCACTGTTGTGACCTGCTGCTCTTTTATTTATATATATCTATATGTATATAAATATCCATAGCACATCTGTTTATAGATTGTTTACTGAATATTTCAGGCTCACTGTTATGACCTACTGCTCAGAAGAAAAGATTTCCTTCAAAATATTACTTGTTGGCAGTGCACCTGCTGTCACGGAGAGGTACATGAGATTATTAATAATTATTAATATCTCTCTATATGAAGGTGTATATATAGAGATAGATATAAATTCATAATGGTACATTGTATGGAAGTAAGATAACCAGCTTACTAAGTACATATTAAGGTTATAATGTATACATATTAAACAACAAATAAATGAAGTATAGATGTTTATTTCTGTTCTTGAGTTGGGTTGTATCCAAGTTTTGAGAATTAAATCAATTCCCTGGATATTCAGTTTGATAATTTATGTAGTACACATTATTATTTTTTTTTCAGAGGTTTTTGCCATGTGTGTTCACTGGAGAGAAAGAAACAGAGACAGTGAGAGGAAAAGTAAGAAATCACTCCCCAGGGGGCTTGCCATGCGCAGTCCCTTCTCCATTCTCCTCCTGGGATCTCGGGCATGCACATGCACCCAGTGTGAGTTTCAAGTCACTGGATCTAGGATTCAAACCATGGTTGGCCATGTGGGAGTCCAGTGATATAACCATTATGTCATCTACTGGCTCCCATATAGTGAGTATTTCTTTGAGTTAGTCAGACACTAGAAATGACAGGAATGTTAATAAGTTGTTATTTCAAGAGAGGCCTCGAGGCAGTTCTTGGTTCATCCTCCTGTGTAAATCGTGGGTTGTCGGAAAAGTCAGGATACACAGAAAATACGTCATGACTTTTCTGACAACCCACTACATTAATGTATAAAGCAGGACAAACCAGCAAGAATTTTAAGTATCAAAATGGTAGGGTTGACTGATAGCTTTGCTGTTCTGGTCTTAGCAAAACTGTTCTAGAAGGAAAGAGGAAAAATGGAATAAGCTCACAGCAGTGAGTTTTCCTCGGCCTCTAAGACCATAACATCAAACTAGATTTAGGAGTAGCCTTCACACTTGTTTTCAAGCTGCATGAATCAGTTCATCAGTGTTTACTGGGAATTAGTGCAGGTTACAAAAGAAATACAATGTATCATTTAGAAATATGTACCGTTTTCAAATGTCAAGTTACTTGTAGACATATTTATAGATTTGTAAATTGGTTCATAAGGACCAGGAGGCATGGTGGTGGTTAAGGCTGCTAGATCCCACATGACTGAGGAGCAGTTCAAGTCCTGAAGCAGGTGGCTTGAAAAATACACCAGGCACATGTGCATGGGTGCCCAGAAATCCCAAGAGCAGAATGGAGGAGAGGACTGTGGCATGGCCATCCCCCCACACCCTGGGGGTGCTTTCTCACTTTCTCTCTCTGTCTCTGATGAGCGCACATACCCTATTGCCAATTGGAAAGAAAAATTATGCTAAATCTACTCTGCCTATGTTCAGTAAATGGAAAAACAAAGCCTGGAAGACAACACATCTATTTACAGCATTGTGTACTGAGTAAGTATTTAAGACTCACTGTTGTGACCTGCTGCTCAAGAAAAAAAATTTCCTTCAAAATATTATTGCTCACTGATTGCACCTCCTGGAGAGGTGTAGGAGATTAACGTTTCAGGCCTAACACAACATCCATTCTGCAGCCCATTCTACTCCTGCAGATCAAGGAGTAATTGCGACTTTCACGTGTTTCTGACGAAATACATTTCATAAGGCTATAGCTGCTATCCATAGTGATTCCTCTGATGGATTGGGGCAAAGTCAATGGAAAACCTGGAAAGGATACACCATTCTAGATGTCATTAAGAACATGCAGGACTCATTGGAGGAGGTGAATATATCAGGATTAACAGAAGTTTGGAAGAAGTCGATTGCAATGCTCATGAATAATTTTAAGGAATTAAAAATGACCAGCAGATAGCATAGTGGTTATGTCACTGCAGTCCCACATGGCTGACTGCAGTTCGAGTTCTGGACCCAGCGGTTTGAAACTCAAGCCAAGAATGTGTGCGTGCATGCCCAAAATCCCGAGAAGAGAATGGAGGAAAAGGGATTGCAGTGTGGCCATCCCCTCCAGGGGTGATTTCTCTCCATCTCTCTCTCTCTCTGTCTTTCTCTGGTGAGCACACATGCCCTATAGCAAAAATCTCTCCAAAACCCCCCACAAAACTTCAGTGGAGGGACCAGCAGTTAGTGTAATGGCTATGTCGCTGGACTCCTATGTAGTTGACCGCAGTTCGAGTCCTGGACCCGGTGGCTTAAAACTCACGCCGGGTGCATGTGTGTGCGTGCCTAAGATCCTGAGAGGAGAACGGAGGAGAAGGGATTGCGGTGTGGCCATTTCCCCTGGGTGGTGATTTCTCGCTTTCTGTCTCTGTCTGGCGAGCACATGCACCCTATAGCAAAAACCTCTCAATAAAAAAAAAAAAAAAAAAAAAAAAAAGCTTCAGTGGAGAAAGTGGCTGCAAATGTAGAAATAGCAAGAG